TGGGGGATATGCGAAATTGCGGACCCATATTGCCCATTTGCCATACCAAACAAACCTTACCTATAAGAAATATTTGTGGAAAAATTTAACTCGCTTGCTCTTTCCGATCTAACCCTATCTTGCTTTCAACAGACAGACGGACGGACAGATGAACAGACGGATGGACATGGTTAGATCGGCTTAGAATTTAATAAGGACCCAAAATATATATACTTTTGTGGGTCTACGACCAATATTTCGATGTGTTACAAACGGAGTGACAAAATCAATATACCCCACTCATCTTTTTTGATGGTGGGTATAAAAAGCACTAAATGCACTGTCATAAAATTAGAAAGCACCACTGTAGTGCCTTTTTGAAAAAAGGCACCATGAGCAAAATTTTCCGCGTTTGGCACACCAAAAGGCACCGCAAATAGTGCTAAAAGCACTAAGTTGGCAACACTGACTACTTGTTTACAATTATGCTTTGTTTTGTTTTCTTCCTTATACTCTCTCTCTCAATCATTATTTGTAAACAAACCCAGTGTTGTAAATAGGGGTAGTAGATTTCATTTTAATGCTAATTTAGAATAATTACAAATAAAATTAAGGCCACAATAAAACTACTATGTATCATCTTACGTGTGAAAACTTTGGAGAATAATAACGATTAGAAAAAATTTTATGTAGTCAAAAACAATTGAAAATAATGCTTTATAGTAAAATTATCAGAAATTTATTTTAAAAGAACAGGTAAGTAAGCTGTGCGGCCATACCTTTTACTTACTTCTAATGTCGTATTGACGTACTGCGCCACAGAAACACACGTCAGTCATCGTAGAAGTATCGATGAGATAAAGAAACATCAAAAGAAATAAATAAAATTAACGAAAGCACTGGAAATTTTAAGTGAATACAATTAGTTGTCTTGTTTTATCAAATTAATAGCTATGTATATGATCCATTTTAACATTTGAATTTTTTATTTTCCGGTTGGCAGAATAAAATACAATAAATATGAAATTAAGCTTAATTACGGCCGTTGCAATTATTTTGCTTATGCGGTTTGTGGTGGCCGAACTACAAGGGCCTCAAGTGACTAGTGGCGAAGTAAAAGATATTTTGGAAACAACGGAAAGTTCAACTAAGCCAACATCGTCTAATGAGGAAGCGGACGCAGAAGAAGATTCCAATGAAGTGCCCAATAATCAACGTAAAGCGGCGAAGTATATAGATGAACAAATGTCGGCAGCTAAGACGGCTGCCCAAATAGCGGCCACCATGCAACCGGCTGAAGGCGGCGATGGAAAGAATAAACTTTTACAATTTGCCATCTTTGAGCGTCTATGGAATGAAGAGGTGGTGCGCAAAAAGTTACAGGAACAAATCGAAACGATTGAAGCGAAAAGAGAACCCATCGAAGCAGTCGATCCAACACAAGAAGAAATTGAAGGTTCGATTGTTTATTTTACACATAAAATCATATCTCGTAATTAAATCATTTCAATTGTTATAGCTCAAAGTATGTATGAAAGAGCAATGGAAATATTTAATGGTGCCAATCCCAATAAACGTGTAGCTCATACTTTACTACGCAAAGCTGCTGAAATGAAAAATAGTAAGGCTCGTTCTACTCTGGCCTGGCTACGCATTTTTGAACAAGAAACGGATTATGATTTGAGTTATGCAGCCAAAGAATTTGACGAATTAGCCAAAGAAGGTTTGGGCGATGCACACTTGGTAAGGGGAAAATAAAAAAATACAACTGTATTTAATAATTGAGTGGTTAATACTGTTGTTTTTTAGGGTCTGGCTTATCTCTATTCTGTGGGAGTGGGCGGCAAAAATGTAAGTCAACCTTTGTCTTTGATACACTTAACTTTGGCCGCACTTGATGGTGAATCATTAGCTGAGATGGCTTTGGGCTATCGTTATTCCTTTGGTATTAATGTCCCCGCCAGTTGTGAAAAGTCTTTGTCGTATTATAAAAGAGTAGCAGCGAAAGTTGCTGCTAATGTAAAATTCTCTAGTGGACCTTTGGTGCACCGTGTCAGACTTTTAGATGAATCTGAAAATCCTGGCAGTCAAGAAACAGAAATTGTGGACTACTATCAATTGCTAGCCGACAAAGGTGATGTACAATCACAAGTAGGCTTGGGACAACTTTACTATCAGGGCGGCAAGGCCATTAAGCAGGATCATCAGAAAGCTTTGGAATATTTTACATTGGCAGCTAATGCTGGTAATGCAATAGGCTATGCCTTTTTGGGTAAACTATATTTAGAGGGCAGTGAGCATATAAAAGCGGATAATGAAACGGCATTTAAGGTAAGATTTTAAAAATGAAAAAAAAAAAAATTAAAATTTATATTAAATTTTAAAATTTTTATAGTATTTTGCCAAAGCTGCCAACTTAGGTGATCCTGTAGGACAAAGTGGTTTGGGCTTGATGTACTTGAAAGGTTACGGTGTACCCAAAGATCCCTTAAAGGCTTTAAACTATTTCACTATGGCTGCTGATCAAGGCTGGGTAGATGGCCAATTACAATTAGGAATGATGTATTTCAGTAAGTTTTCTTGTGTTATATTTATAAATAAAAAATGATTATTTATAACCATTAATAGCTGGCAATGGCGTTAAAACTGATTACAAGTTGGCCTTGAAATATTTCAATTTGGCCTCTCAGTCTGGTCATGTTTTGGCTTATTATAATTTGGGTATTATGCATGCTTATGGCATTGGTATATTACGTTCCTGTGCAGCTGCTGTAGAGGTACAGAAAACATAGTTTAGTACACATTATTAATATATGCTAATATATAATTACATTTATTTAGTTTTTCAAAAATGTGGCTGAACGTGGCACGTGGAGTTCACATCTGATGAAAGCCTATACGAACTACAAAAACAATAACATCAACGAAGCCTTTTTGATATATGCTCTCCTAGCTGAAGTAGGCTACGAAGTGGCACAAAGTAATGCTGCTTATCTTTTGGATCGAGGCGATGTTACCATCTTCCATGATCGCAACGAAGAATTAATAAGAGCATTTTACTATTGGAAACGTGCAGCAGCTCAGGGCTACTCGGCAGCTCAAGTGAAGTTAGGAGATTATTACTATTACGGCTGGGGAACTGATATCGATTTTGAAATGGCTGCTGCTTTATATCGTAAAGCCTCCGAGCAGCAATATAATGCCCAAGCCATGTTTAATTTGGGTTACATGCACGAGAAAGGTTTGGGCATGAAAAAAGATTGGCATTTGGCTAAACGTCAATATGATTTAGCGGCTGTGACAAACGCCGATGCCAAAGTTCCCGTTGCAATAGCATTGTTAAAATTGCAATTGTTGGCCAAAATTGAATCGATAAAAGAGGCAAGAGAAGCAAATATACTATATGTAATTTTTTCTTTTAACAATTTTATTTCATTTTCTGTTACAGTCACCCTACAAATTTATCTTTTATTTGGACGAAAACATTGCTGCTAATTGGGATTTATACATGATTACTATTTTGACTCTGCTTTTGGGTTTCATCATGTACACTAGACGTACTTTAGAAAACCAACTGCAACAGATTCAAGAAAATCCTCAACAGCAGCAGCAAGAAGAAAATGCCGCTGAGCAACCAAACAATGAGAATGTCACAGCAACAACAGTTGAAAATGATATGACTAATACACAATCTGCACAATCTTCAGCAACAACAACTGCTACTACTAAAACAGAAACTACTCAAGACTCTAAAAATGATCAACCATCCACTTCGTCTAAGACGTCTACAGCAACAACGTCGTCTACATCACAACCTGCAACATCTTCAACTTCTACAACAAGTTCATCAGCGTCGTCAGCATTACCATCGGCTGCTTCAAATTCAATCGCTGATCCCACTGAATAATAAGCATATTGATTAATTTAATTTCTTCTTATAAATTACTGTATATTAACTAATATCTACAACTAAATTAAAATTTATTTAAATTTACCCATCCTTATAAAAATTAAAAAGAAAATTCTTTATTTCCTGACCCTAACATCAGTCACCTACACCATCACCCTCTTTCCACTTTATAATATTTTAGAATTTTTGTGTATGTTGTCTGTACATATTACGTATATTTTTGTTTCTTTTTTCTTTTCCTTTAGAATTTCTTTTCATTTTATGATCTTAAATTTTAAAATATGCATATTAATACGATTGTATATTAATTTAAACCATTTATACGAGTATAAGTAATGAAAATTTAAATTTAATATTATTTTTTAATAAAACCTAAGATAAATGAAGACATAAAACTCTAAAACTAAATGTGTTTTTAATATGTTTATAATCTATTCTATTGTTAATTTTTCTCAATCTATCTATCTATCTATCTATCTATCTATCTATCTATCTATCTATCTATCTATCTATCTATCTATCTATCTATCTATCTATCTATCTATCTATCTATCTATCTATCTATCTATCTATCTATCTATCTATCTATATCTATCTATCTATATCTATCTATCTATCTATCTATCTATCTATCTATCTATCTATCTATCTATCTATCTATCTATCTATCTATCTATCTACTATCTATCTATCTAATCTATCTATCTATCTATCTATCTATCTATCTATCTATCTATCTGATCTATCTATCTATCTATCTATCTATCTATCTATCTATCTATCTATTCTATCTATCTATCTATCTATCTATCTATCTATCTATCTATCTTATCTATCTATCTATCTATCTATCTATCTAATCTATCTATCTATCTATCTATCTATCTATCTATCTATCTATCTATCTATCTATCTATCTATCTATCTATCCTATCTATCTATCTTCTATCTATCTATCTATCTATCTAGCTATCTATCTATCTATCTATCTATCTATCTATCTCTACTATCTAGCTATCTATCATCTATTACCTACTATTTCCTGTAGCATTTTCAAGTAACATCAAAAAATTTAAAATTGAAATCGATAAAAGTAACATTCAAATTTTCTTTACATATTTAAACATCACTAACAAACAATATAAAAACTAATTTTAAATAAACTTTTTCAGAAAAATAATTCACAAATAAATTTAAATACTAATTTTTAGGAGAAGAATAACATAAATCCAAGTGATGTCCCATTTAATAAGGGTAAACTGAAAATAAAATTTCTTAAAATATAAATTATAAAAATTTTATTTAGACCTTTATTCGCACCCCCTTGAACCGATCCATTATGCTGACCGGCCAACGCATGCAGCATCAGCAACAAACTCAATGCTGCAAAAGAAGTAAACTGCCACCGAAACTACAACGTTTACAAAAACTGTTTCAAGAGAAAAACGATCTGCCGGTGTTCCTTAAAGGTGGTGCTAAAGATAAAATGCTCTATTACAGCACTTTAGGTTTGGCAGGAATGGGTTTATTGTATAATGTAGTGTTTTTGGCAGGTTATATAATTGATTAAACATAATCCTTACAAATGTTTATTTTTTAATAAATTTATTTAAAATTATTAGTTTAAACAACAATAAAAACTTCTGTAATCGTTTTGTTTTAAATACAAACCTTCATTAACTGGCTGTAGTTGTAGCATGGCTACCACCATCCTCATCAATTTTATCAATAACTAATTTCAGACAATCTTTTGTGGAGACTTTTTCTAAATTGCACATTTTGGTCAAATCCATGGTAGAAATTTGTTCTATCATATCCTTAATGCGTTCCTGCTTAATAATGGCCTTAACCGATTGTCGTGTCGAGGCGTTAGGAGGTGGAGTGGTAGTATATTTTTTCTCTTTGGAATCATTTTCGATGTGTTTACCTTTCGATCGATAATGTTGTTCAATAATTCTGCGTATTTTTAATTTCGTTGCTCGCGTTTTACGATTAACTTGCCCTAAGGCTAAATTGTGTAATTCTTGGAAATTAATTTCTTTATTTACTTGCGCTGAATCGTTTGTTTCTTCCGATAGCAGTGGCAAGTCTTCATATGATTCTACAGTGGATACAATAGCATCATCTTCTAAACTTACGCCTTGACTTAAAAGTTTTGTTAAGTCGGGTGGAGGAGTTAATGGTTCATCCTGAATTACTGGGACATTAAAATTATCATTAATTTCTTTAGATTTGTGTGATATATCATCTACAATCTCCTGGGCCGAGTTTTCCTCTTCTATATTTAAGTTTTCTTTATTTTCTATATCTTGAGTTTCCAATTCAAGACTTTGTGGAACAGCTTCACTAGATTTCTTCTTTTTCTTAGATTTTTTAGTTTTTTCTGTTTTGACTTCTTTGGATTTTGGTGGCTCTTCTAAAGTTTCTTTTTGTTCTTCAACTTCTATTGATTTTTTCTTTTTCTTTTCAGGTTTTGTTATGTTTTCCATTGTTTTAGGTTTTAACTTCCTTTTTAAAATGGCCAAACAGGGCTTTGTTTTAATTTTAACTGGCATTATTGAATTGTACTGTATACCTATGCTATTAAAACAATCTATAAACTCCATGGTATCATAGTCTTCTTGCAGAGATGACCACAATTGGGTGTTGAACTTATTTTTGGCTTCCATTAGTAAATGAGTATATTGTTTTGTTTCTTCTTTGGTATAGTTCATATGTTCATTTTTACAATATCTAGAAAATAAAAAGTTAAATATGTTTTACTAAGATAAAGCCATTTAATACGCACCTCCAATCATCCCTGATTTGCAAAAATCTGCTGACACCACTTTGAGCAGCTAAATTTGATATATGTACTGAAACATTTGTAGTATGATATTCTAAATTGTGCAGATTTCTTAAAGCCAAACCGCCAGGGTAATTGGTACGCGAAACCAATAATAAAAATAATGTTATTAAAACATTGGCCAATAAATGGCCACCAGCACATAAAGATAGAAAACCATGCCATATAGATTTTGAACTATTTTGCCAGCTAAACACGAAAAAAAAGTGTTTGAATAAACCTGGAAATATCTAACAATAAAAGAGGACTTACAATCTGTGACAAGCCGTGGCTGCTGCTAAATTCAATACGGGAAATACATAAATAATAAAACGTAATTCTTTGTGAGGTAATATAGAATATATTAAAACAAATCCTATAGCAGCTATAACAATAGGTCTTATGCGACGTTCCAGCAATAGACCTAAAGGCACAAATAATAAGGAGGCACCCATGGCACGTGGCAAAGCTGAATAGAAATACCACATAAAGGGAGAAGTCTAAAGAAGTTTAATAAAATGCTAGGTTAAGGGAAACCATTACAACAAAAATTGTTAAATTTAAAAATAAATACTAAAAGATGCTTCTATTAAAAAGGATACACCCCAATCGGAGCTTTTATTTAGTACAGTATTATACCATAACACTTCACCCTCCGGCCATAATAGTCTTTTCCAAAAGAATGAATCCACTACTATGGAAGTAGCCAAAATTACCAAACCCGCTGGTAAAGCAATTTTTAAAATTCTATAAGGGAAATGATTAAAATTATAATTATTACAATTAATAAATAGCGGAAGAACAATATTTTATACACACACCTGTCTATCGTTACTTTACGAAATAGTAAATCGAAAAGCAATAGCAAACCTAAAAATATAATCAATTCCGAACGAAAAACCAATATAGCTATGCCGGAGCATATAATAAACGGTTTCAATTGACCATTTAACCAATAAGCCAAAGCATATAAGACTGAAATTAAAATTAGTATAAATGTAATAAATAAGGTTTTAATTTTTAATTAGAGTTATTACCTATAGGCAGTGCCATTATATTGGGTAAAGTTCTACTCATATAGAATATAAAATGAAATTGTGTTAATGTTATAAGACTAAACCAAAAACTAACATTGGTGCCGTACAACTTTGTTATCACACGTTTCAATTTGGTCCAGGATACGGTGACAACAGCAGCCAATATTAAACGCACTGTAAATGGGAATTATTAAAGAGAAATTATTGAAAATAAATTATGTTTTTATAATTTCAACTTTGTGTAACCAACATAAATTATTTAATTTATGAAACTTGTTCTTATTTCACTTGTAATTCTTGTAATAGATAGACATACAGATAGATATACAGATAAATAGATAGATAGATAGATAGATAGATAGATAGATAGATAGATAGATAGATAAATAGATAGATAGATAGATAGATAGATAGATAGATAGATAGATAGATAGATAGATAGATAGATAGATAGATAGATAGATAGATAGATAGATAGATAGATAGATAGATAGATAGATAGATAGATAGATAGATAGATAGATAGATAGATAGATAGATAGATAGATAGATAGATAGATAGATAGATAGATAGATGGATAGATATTAAAACCAATTAAAATTGTAGGAAATACTTTAAATTTAGATGAAATCTGCGAAAACTTATTTTAAAACTTTGTACCTCATGATAATTAAGTATGGAAATAGTAATATTTGTTTTTATTTAATTTATGTTGAATGCACAAATATAGTTAGATTTTTTTTAAACGTTTCTTTCTGTTTACCTACATATTGCGCCCAAAATTTGTTGATATTCAGAGTTTCAAACAGTAAAATAAATGGCGTTGATAGAATCGATATAAATAAGGGACCCAAAAATGTGCGTGGCACAACACCAGGAAACTCATGATGATCATACTTGTTAGAAAATTAAATAAATATTAAATTTAATTTAGAACATAAAAAACCACTTCATTCATACCTGTGTAAAATTGTGCCGTAAATATAAAATATCATGCATAGCCTGTAGATTAAAACTTTCCTCCACTTTGGTAAATGGGGTATATACAAGATGGCCAGCTGCCGTTAAAAATAGCAACAAATCCATTTTAATCGAACTTTACTAAGATCTCTTAAAATCCATAAAATTTTTTAACTTTTACTTTAATTATTTGCTTAATTGTAGCGATAAATTACATAATTTTTTAAAAATTCCACGGCGGACTATAGAGAAATCTCCGTATATGTTTGTACTATAATATTAATATTTGAAAACCAAAAAACGAAATACAAAGTATTATTGTCCAATACACTTCTTAACCAACAGTGACGTCGACTTTGTGTGGATGTGAGTACGGGCAACAGGCCGAAAAAATAAATAATAAAACAAGAGCAAACAGAAATAATAATGTGTCATAAACATTTAGTGGGATTTTTACGCTGACAACACACAACTATGCGGGTGACCTGTTGTTGTTCTTGCTGCTGCTGAAGGAGTGGGCCATTAAGCCAATAACCGGCAAATGAACATAAACACACTTTCGTTATTCTTGAGAGTTTGCGTCGTTGTAAACAAAACACTTGTTGGTTTTCTTGTTTTTAGCAAATAAATACCACAATGTTTGTCTTAATAATAGATTTCACTATTTTTTCAGAAGTTCTTTATTATTTATATATTTTTGTTGTTTTAATTTTATTATTTTTGTTTATCTAAATATAGATGTTTTTGATATATACGTATATACGTGAGCAAAACAACGAAAAGTAAATGTCAAGAACAGATGTTGGCTTGTTTTTGCTACTCGTCAGCAGATGACTCTATCTATCTATTGTTGGTATTTTTAAAAGTAATGCCAAGTTTCGAGTTTATTTTGCGTTAACTTTAAAATGAAATCAGCCCATTATGCATATGTTGGATGTAAATTGTACTAAATGAATAAGTAAGTAACTAACTAACTAACTAACTAACTAACTACTAACTAACTAACTAACTAACTACTAACTAACTAACTAACTAACTAACTAACTAACTAACTAACTAACTAACTAACTAACTAACTAACTAACTAACTAACTAACTAACTAACTAACTACTAACTAACTAACTAACTAACTAACTAACTAACTAACTAACTAACTAACTAACTAACTAACTAACTAACTACTAACTAACTACTAACTAACTAACTAACTAACTAACTAACTAACTAACTAACTAACTACTAACTAACTAACTAACTAACTAACTAACTAACTAACTACTAACTAACTAACTAACTAACTAACTAACTAACTAACTAACTAACTAACTAACTAACTAACTAACTAACTAACTAACTAACTAACTAACTAACTAACTAACTAACTAACTAACTACTAACTAACTAACTAACTAACTAACTACTAACTAACTAACTACTAACTAACTAACTAACTAACTAACTAACTAACTAACTAACTAACTAACTAACTAACTAACTACTAACTAACTAACTAACTAACTAACTAACTAACTAACTAACTAACTAACTAACTAACTAACTACTAACTAACTACTAACTAACTAACTAACTAACTAACTAACTAACTAACTAACTAACTAACTACTAACTAACTAACTAACTAACTAACTAACTAACTAACTAACTAACTAACTAACTAACTAACTAACTACTAACTAACTAACTAACTAACTAACTAACTAACTAACTAACTAACTAACTACTAACTAACTAACTAACTAACTAACTAACTAACTAACTAACTAACTAACTAACTAACTAACTAACTAACTAACTAACTACTAACTAACTAACTAACTAACTAACTAACTAACTAACTAACTAACTAACTAACTAACTAACTAACTAACTAACTAACTAACTACTAACTAACTAACTAACTAACTAACTAACTAACTAACTACTAACTAACTAACTAACTAACTAACTACTAACTAACTAACTAACTAACTAACTAACTAACTAACTAACTAACTAACTAACTAACTACTAACTAACTAACTAACTAACTAACTAACTAACTAACTAATAACTAACTAACTAACTAACTAACTAACTAACTAACTAACTAACTACTAACTAACTAACTAACTAACTAACTAACTAACTAACTAACTAACTAACTAACTAACTACTAACTAACTAACTAACTAACTAACTAACTAACTAACTAACTAACTAACTAACTAACTAACTAACTAACTAACTAACTAACTAACTAACTACTAACTAACTAACTACTAACTAACTACTAACTAACTAACTAACTAACTAACTAACTAACTAACTAACTAACTAACTAACTAACTACTAACTAACTAACTAACTAACTAACTAACTAACTAACTACTAACTAACTACTAACTAACTAACTAACTAACTAACTAACTAACTAACTAACTAACTAACTAACTAACTAACTAACTAACTAACTAACTAACTAACTAACTAACTAACTAACTAACTAACTACTAACTAACTACTAACTAACTAACTAACTAACTAACTAACTAGTACTAACTAACTAACTAACTAACTAACTAACTAACTAACTAACTAACTAACTAACTAACTAACTAACTAACTAACTAACTAACTAACTAACTAACTACTAACTAACTAACTAACTAACTAACTAACTAACTAACTAACTAACTAACTAACTAACTAACTACTAACTAACTAACTAACTAACTAACTAACTAACTACTAACTAACTAACTACTAACTAACTAACTAACTACTAACTAACTAACTAACTAACTAACTAACTACTAACTAACTACTAACTAACTAACTAACTAACTAACTAACTAACTAACTAACTAACTAACTAACTAACTAACTAACTAACTAACTAACTAACTAACTAACTAACTACTAACTAACTAACTAACTACTAACTAACTACTAACTAACTAACTAACTAACTAACTAACTAACTACACTAACTAACTAACTAACTAACTAACTAACTACTAACTACTAACTAACTACTAACTAACTAACTAACTAACTAACTAACTAACTAACTAACTAACTAACTAACTAACTAACTAACTAACTAACTAACTAACTAACTAACTAACTAACTAACTAACTAACTAACTAACTAACTAACTAACTAACTAACTAACTAACTAACTAACTAACTACTAACTAACTAACTAACTAACTAACTAACTAACTAACTAACTAACTAACACTACTAACTAACTAACTACTAACTAACTAACTAACTAACTAACTAACTAACTAACTACTAACTAACTAACTAACTAACTAACTAACTAACTAACTAACTAACTAACTAACTAACTAACTAACTAACTAACTAACTAACTACTAACTAACTAACTAACTAACTAACTAACTAACTAACTAACTAACTAACTAACTAACTAACTAACTAACTAACTAACTAACTAACTAACTAACTAACTAACTAACTAACTAACTAACTAACTAACTAACTAACTAACTAACTACTAACTAACTAACTAACTAACTAACTAACTAACTACTAACTACTAACTAACTAACTAACTAACTAACTAACTAACTAACTAACTAACTAACTAACTAACTAACTAACTAACTAACTAACTAACTAACTAACTAACTAACTAACTAACTACTAACTAACTAACTAACTACTAACTAACTAACTAACTAACTAACTAACTAACTACTAACTAACTAACTAACTAACTAACTAACTAACTAACTAACTAACTAACTACTAACTAACTAACTAACTAACTACTAACGAACTAACTAACTACTAACTAACTAACTACTAACTAACTAACTAACTACTACTAACTAACTAACTAACTAACTAAACTAACTACTAACTAACTAACTAACTAACTACTACTACTAACTACTAACTAACTAACTACTACAACTACTAACTAACTAACTACTAACTAACTAACTAACTCACTAACTAACTAACTAACTACTAACTACTAACTACTAACTAACTAACTAACTAACTAACTAACTAACTAACTACTAACTAACTAACTAACTAACTAACTAACTAACTAACTAACTAACTACTAACTAACTAACTAACTAACTAACTAACTAACTAGCTAACTAACTAGCTAACTAACTAACTAACTAACTTTTTTTTTTTTTTTTTTTTTTTTTATAGGACGTAGTGATAGTACACTATCAACTAGTGGCCCCACGAATACCTCCCCGTCTCACCCCGGTACCACTTTCGCATTTCATCGGGGCAGACGATTTTATATATCGCTATCCTACTCCCCCATCCTCATATGAGATTAGGGGTTCGGCGTTGCGATCAGATCTGCATTTCATTATATGTGTGATAAAATCTTGACACTTCATCCACTTTTCTTCGGATTTCAACATTTCCGAAACAATGTTTACCGGAGTTAATATAGTTCCAATATATTCATATAAAGATCTCCTCATTTGGTTCCATTTTTCACATTGAAATAGAGTATGTTCTGCGGTATCTTCTTGGGATCCACAGTCTTCACAATATATATTCTCTTTTATCTTGAATCTTGTTAAATATGAGTTAAAATTTCCATGTCCCGTTAGTATTTGTGTTAGATAGTAGTGCATTCTACCGTGTTTTCGTTTTATCCAGCTTTCAATGTCTGGTATCAGTTTATGGGTCCATCTACCCCTTTCATCTGCTTCCCATTGTTCCTGCCACTTTGTTAGCAGATTGTTTCTTGCTTCCTCTTTTACATTTTTAATATATTGCGTATTGATGTCTAGACTTGTTGCTACATTCAATCTTTGCCATATTTCTTCTCGCTCCAATATAAGGAGGTCAATGGGTGGAATTCCGGAGAGAACTAAAGCTGCACTTGTGGACACAGTTCTGTACGCTGATATTACCCTTAGGGCACTAACTCTCTGTGGTTTTAACAGTTGTGTGATTACACACTTTCTTTTCAAAGCTGATGCAATTATAGGTGCTGCATACAGCATTTGTGAGTGAACTACACTGTTTATGAGCTTCCTAGTGGAGTCTTTAGGTCCGTTTATATTTGGCATAATTTTTGTTAACACATTTGCAGTTTTTAGGGCTTTGTCTCGAATGTTCTGTACATGTATATTGAAGTTTAATCGATTATCTAGTAGAACACCAAGATATCTTAAACTTTTGCTAAAGGTTATACTTTTACCTTGTATTCTTAGTTTTGGAGCTATAAACGATCTACGATTTGTAATTAATATTGACTCTGTTTTTTCGGCCGCTAATTTCAGACCATGCTCGTTTAACCACCTATCGCAGCGGCTGAGGCTATCATTAGTTATTATTTCCAGAGCTTGTGGCAAAGTATGGGAAATAACAAGTGCTACATCATCGGCATATCCTATAATATGCGCACCTTTTGGTAGCTCGAGATTTAGAAGTCCGTCGTACATCATATTCCATAAAAGTGGTCCTAAGACCGATCCTTGTGGTACTCCTGCAGTAATTTGGTATTCCTTCATACCATCATCTGTTTTATACATTAGGACTCTATCATACAAATAATCAGCTATTATATTATACAGAGAACTATGTATTCTTTTGTCTTTGCATGAGCTCATTACAACACTCCATTTAGCTGTGTTGAATGCATTTTTAACATCAAGTGTAATAACAGTACAAAAACCTTTTTCTTTCTTGGAAGCTAGTGCAATATCTACTACTTCCTTTATAGCTCCAACTGTGCTTTTC